TAGCATAGGTACTCAAAATGCCTTCTTTGTATCTGGGAGATGGGCTGTTTCAGCCCATCTTATCCATGCAGTAGCACTGATACTGTTTCAGGTGTTAGCCCTTCTTTCCAAGGAAAAGCAGCAGACCTGAAGCTTGTGAGAGAAATCCCTTTCTTCAAGAGCTGGATTTCCCAGTAGATCTGTGATTCATCTCTGTATTCTGAATATGCAGAACACTGGATATTCAGCACGTCAGTGTTGTCACATCTGACATGCCTTTTATCCAATTCTGCTATTAAAATTTACTCCACAGCTTGATTTTTTTAAAATCTTGTTGATAGCTCTCAGAAATATAAGTAAAATATTCACTGGAGCAGTATTGTCCTACTGAGTCCCCAGGGAGGATAAATATCAGTCCTGAGCAAAGTGGATTACCCCATTACTGAATTAGTGCTAGAATCCAACACCAATTTAAATACCACCATTAGTGTTTCCTTACTGACGATACTTAGAAAAATGCTGATGTGCTTATCCCACTATTCTCACCTGTCTCTGAAAGTACCAAAAGGCTCAAATGTCAAATAAGTGTTTGCGTGTGTGTAAATATTTTCACAATAATACATAATTTATAAGAAAGTGTATTTGCAAAAATATTAAAGGAAGTAAAGATGTGAGCTGGAGCTTCTGAAGGAAGCAGATGGAAGCCAGAGGAGGAAGTCTTCCCAAATGTAAATAGTGAAGACAGAACATGAAGGGGAGAGGGGAATGTCAGGGACAGAAACTATTCCCACCATTACAAAGGGTAAGTGTTTCTTTTTTACTGTGCATGAACACACAAACTCTCCTCAGCATCATAAAACTTGACAATACACACCAAAACTAAAACAGTCTTTGCAGTTGGTAAAGACAGAGCAGGCAATGTAACAGCCACGAAGCTGACATGCACCGCTCATTTAGATTGACAAGGAGCACCTGAGTGCCACTGATGGGCCTAAACAATATTGAAAGCTACTCACAAAGCTAACTATCAGGGGCATTTTAGCTTTCCTTATGCCCCATTGACAGCATGTAATCTCGATTCAACATACACCAACAGCTGACTCGCCAAGTATGAGTTACTCCCAGATCTGCTGCAGTCTGGAACAGGCAATGTCGGATGGCCAATACAAGATCTCCCATTTGAACTGAGGGATCATAGAATCATAGAATTGTGAAGGTTGGAAAAGACCCTTAAGATCATCGAGTCCAACCGTTAACCCATCACTGCCAAGTCCATCTATACCATGTCTTCAAGCACCGTATCTATCCATTCTTTATATACCTCCAGGCATGGAGACTCAACCACTTCCCTGGGCAGCCTCTTCCAATGCTTGACCACCCTTTCAGTGAAGAAGTTTTTCCTAATACCTAACCTAAACCTCCCCTGGCACAGCTTGAGGCCGTTTCCTCTTGTTCTGTCACTCGTTACTAGGGAGAAGAGGCCGACCCCCACCTCGCTACAACCTCCTTGCAGGTAGTTGTACAGAGCAATAAGGTCTCCCCTCAGCCTCCTCTTCTCAAGGCTAAACAACCCCAGCTCCCTCAGTTGCTCCTCAGAAGACTTGTGCTCTAGATCCTTCACCAACTTCGCTGCCCTTCTTTGGACACGCTCCAGCACCTCAATGTCCTTCTTGTAGTGAGGGGCCCAAAACTGAACACAGTACTCGAGGTGCTAGGGAAGGATGAGCTGGTGTTCTCCATTGTCAGACTATAACCCTCAGTTAGTAATTTGTTAGAAACAATAGAAGCAAGTGCTATGGCACCTGGCATACAATGCCACTAAGAGTCAAGATAAGATATTAACTTCTCCTCAGCAGCACAAATTTCAGTGGGCCAAACTAAAACAAGGAGCTGAAGACTTTGCAGTTGCTCTTCTAGGCACACATACTTGTTGTGACCAAAGTGCAGGACCCGGCACTTAGCCTTGTTGAATCTCATGCAGTTGGCCCCAGCCCATCGGTCCAGCCTGTCCATATCCCTCCTCTAGCACCATGAGCATCTGCTTCCTCATGTGCAAGCCCCGAAGCCACTGCTTGCTCCTCCAGATGTACATGACAACATAAAGTTACCTCACCCTCCTATCTGACCTTGGGATTGTCATGCTGGTTTATAGATGGGACAACAACTGCAGTAGGCAGGCTGCAGACACTTGATGCTGTCAGAAACCCCACCCCCACCTCTGACTTCTCTCACCTCACTTGATTTAGAAACTTGCTCAAAAAAATGCATCCTGAATGAATTCCTGAATAGCTATTATGCCGTGTAAAAAACTGAGAGATAACATGCAACCAAAACCAGTTTATCTGGACATAACTAGCAGAAGCAAGGTACATGCAGGGCTACAGCTGTCTTGCAAAAACACCCCATGTTTCCATGCTGGACTCCAGAAAGGATAAAGAAGTCCTTCCAAACCATATCACAAACCTATCCCTAAAAGATCTCTGGTAGGTGAGATAATTTGGGATATGCCCTCAGCCATTCTAGCTTCAAATTTCTTAACTAAAGAGACCACTGTCACCTGTGCAGAAGTCAATGCTGGTAGTGCTGTTGACAGTCAGGCTGAACTAGCAATGGGTACACTCTTAGTTTCACTCTCTTCTGATGCTGCTAAATCCCTGACACCTAACTGCAACCAAGCAGCAAGAGTATCAGAGCTTTAGATCAATAAGCATATAAAAACACTAGAGACAGTCTTAAGACAGTTATCAATCCTCTTCGCAACACTGTTCCCCCAGCTTCTGAATTACATCTTCAAAATTATAAACTTTTTGAGGCAAATGGGTCTTAATCTGATTTACTACACTAATGACTACAAAAACTTGAGAAAGAGGAATGAAGGTTGCTCAGTATCAGTGGCCTGGTACATAGCAATTCATCTCAAGTTTCATTTCTCAAACACAACCTCTGTGATGTTGAACGAAACAAACTTTCTGTGACTCAGTTTCCAATCTCTGGAACAGAAAAAAAGGTACTTTTTTACTTCACAAAAGGACCTGTAGAAAGGTTCTCTGTAACGCGTCAATTATTATAAGGCAGTCAGGCAACCACACAGAAATAATTGTTGAACAACAAACTCTCTTCCCTGAAAGAGAAAGCTCAGGTCAATGTGGCAACTGGCACAGACTCCAATTACAGGAGAACTTTTCAAAGAGAACAGCTGTGTCTCTGAGTTAATACCTATTCTCATTAAACAAGGCACAAATAACACTAACATGCAAAACTACAGGCAAGAAATTATTTAACCTTTATCCAGACTGTGGCTTCATTATAGCAAGAGAATAAAGAAATCTAGATCTACATACAAGATGGCTAGTTCTGATTATCTCTACATTACTTTAACAAAGGGTATGATGAACATACTCCTAAAATGTTTCTTACTGCTCTCATCTTAGTAAATGGTTATATCACAATTGCACCTAGCTTGGATTTGTTAGAACAAGCTTCTTTACACTTACCAGGAACATGAACTTAGAGATAAGCAAGTAAATGTTTATTTTGGCTTTATGTAAGGTTGAACTTCTGGCATATGTTTTATTTTCAAAACCAATTTCACATCTTGCATTTTTGAAGAAACTGTGATCTAATATTTGGAACAGCAGGTTGGGAAGCCAAATCTCTCTGACTTCCAGTGTTTTCACACAGTGACTGGTGGTTTGGCCTCTGTTACTCATACACCAAGAGTACTTCAGTCTAAAACTAATCTCACTGAAAGTATTTCATACATAGCAGGCCACTTCTAAAAATGAGTCTGGGGGACAAAAAGTGGCTCTGAATTGCTGGGGATTTTTTAATATTTTTTGTATGCCTAGAGACAGTGTAGAATTAAACCTCCTCCAAAGAGGACTACTTACACACCTCCTGCAAATGCACCTAGTATTTAAGCTATATTCACACAGGATCACTTTCTGGCTCTGCCTTCTTTACTGGAAATTATGTTCTTTGCTCTAACTCTGCTATGAGTTTGCTATGTTTTTCCTCTCTATGTTGCTGCTGTTGTTCCTCTCTCAAGCACTGACAGAGCCAATGGGGTCAGAGGTCACTAGTTCTTATCTTGCTTTGCTTATCTGTTGGGCACTCCAGCCCACCTCCTGGGTGCCCTTATTGCAGTTTTGCTTCCCACTACATTGACAAATAATCAAAGGAAGACATTGTATGCACAAACTGCAGTCTGACAGAAAATCAACTGACTCCCAAAGCAGCATCTTGGGATCCACCAATCTATCAATTATCCAGAATGTCAATGATAGTACAACTCACATGTTTTGTGTCCAAGGTGATTATTATTCCTGCAACTGGAAGATGGAGACTTGAAGTTTTGCAGTCTCTATTATAAAAATTGAACTGTCTTTTCCAGTTTTTACGAATGTTAAGTTGGGATTGCATGACTCTCCCAGGTCTGTTGACATACATGTTTCAGATATCTGCAGTTCTCCTTTGTCCTGTCTGCAGTGCGCCTAATATTCTCCTCCTGCAATCTCTTCAACAGTTGCCCCTGCCAAGTACCATAACTCCAGCTTCTCAGCTCCTTCTCATATATAAGAAATGTTATCAGGTACAGTTTCAATGCCTGTGAACTTCTGTAGTGCCTTGTTCAGTTTAAACCAAAATTATTTCGAGGCCCACCAGATACCCTGTGTTCCCACTGCTTTAGCATCACATGCCAAACTTGGGAATTTGTTTGGTTTTTGTCCAGAAACCAGCACTTTGAATGCCCTGTGTTATTCAGCTCTGCCTGATGACTCTGTTTCTAGGTGCTGCTTTTTTTTCTTACGAATCATATGTTCTTCCTTACAGTGGAATCCATTATATTGACCACTGCCAATACATTTTATGTAAGATATGTTGGTTAATAAAATGAAAGGACTTTATGCTTGTGAAACCAAACTGTCTCTTTAATTCACACAGATGTTGCAACTGAGATTATCACTTAAACTATGGCCATACAAACTGCTTTCCTGGTACCTCCTGCAATGTGAGCTGCTCCAACAAAGATTCATGCAGGTTGCTACAAGCACTCCATTACCCCAGCTAAGGATCTGGCAAGAAAATAGAGGTTTCATTGCACCAAGTGCTGTACATTATGAGATTAAAAGTGGCTTTGTCCTAACAGTTCATTTGAATACACAGGGCAGTACAAAGAAAAGAAATGTTATTATCCCCATTTGACAGACAGCAGACTGAAGCATAGGCATAATAAGCAATTTGTCCAAAATTATGCAGGAAATCTGTCCTGAAACAGGGAACTGAACTCACAGATTTTTATTTCATTCTTTTTAACTACAAAACTAAGAGGAAACAGGAGAGCTATTAAACTGCTGGTTCTGAAACACCCGTACCTAGGTCTGACAGACATCGTATTTCCAGTTATTGTCCTACTCAGTTCCTAAAAGAACAACTCCAATTATGTAAAATGCTTTCTGTTTCTGAGGGGCATAACTGGATGCACTCTGTTCTTTTGTTGGGTCCAGAGACCTCCACTCTGCACCACAAGCTGCTCCCTTCCTCACCTACCAAGTATCTCCCAATCTGATGTTACCTGCCAAGTTCCCAACAGTACTGAATTCTTACATCAGAGTTTTGTGTATCCGCTCTATGGCATCCTCCAGCTCTTCCTTCTGGTCTGGAACAAAGCGGTACTCCGAGACGTAACCTGCAGTGTGCTTATATGGGTCATAGTCTCCCAGCTCAGCTAGAGGACACAAGAAGAAAAGGAAGGTCACCTATTTTCAATGCTTTATGTTAACCACAAAAATATGTTATATAATCCACCTATTTGTTGCCAAGCCATCTCTTTCTAACTGACTGTCAATTTATCATGCAGTCAGTTAAAAAAAACCCAAACAGTACAGAACTGTTCATATCAGTGCACATAAAACCAAGGAAAAAAAGTCTTCAATCATCTTAAAAGAGAAATGGAAGGTTCAAAGAGCTACAGGTTTCGTAAGGAAATCTACCACGTCTACAAGTCTAGATACAATTTGTCCAAGCCAGCAAAGTTGAAGTTTGATTATATACATTATTTGGCAGCATACGTAAAACAAGTGGAGAGGTAAAGTCTAGTTTTTGGAACACCTGTGCCCTCATGATAAACTGTAATATTACAGACAGAACTGATCCATATTCTTACTGGGACTCCTAACATAAATGTCAGTGTGGGAATGTAAATGGAGACAAATATTCTGAGACACCCAGAGGTACACCCTTCTAAGGGTAAGCGTCATTTCTTGTGAGGAAACACAAGACTTCATTTTTCAATAAAATATTGATATATTTCCTGAGCATTAAATTCACTTTCAAAATCAAAATAATTTAAAAAATATTTTTCTTAAAGAACCTCATGAATAGCTGATATAATTTTCTTTAAAACAACCTTGAATTTGCATAATTAGTCACATCAGTTTACATGTTGCCATACAATTATAAAATAAATATGCATCTTGGTCAGAACTCACGTCTACTGATCTTAACTCTAATTGCATCTACCTGAGAAACTCTGTGAAAGTTGGTATTTCAGTTTTTCAATGATCCTGAGTAAAATCTGCGTAGACTGGGCTTCTCTGAGAAAAGTTTCAAGGAAGGTTTCAATCCAATGCTCACTAAGCCAAAAACATAGCCAAAAGGAGGCTTCAAGAGCCAAGAAGAAAAAGACTCATCTAATAACTCATGTTTCTTTCCAGAATTTAATGATGTTTCTAGAACAGGACAGTGATCTGCTCAGTAGAGATATTGAGAAGTTTCTCTAGAAAATGTCCGTAAAAATTATGTGGTCCTTGCCCATAGCAGAAACAAGAACAGGAATGACTACAACAGCAACAACTGCAGCATTCCCAATAAGAAAATCGGTATATTCTGCAAACTGTGCCATGGGTACTGATTTTTCCACCATCACCACTATAACAGTCTTCAGTCTTTGGCCACAGAAGGAGGAAATGATTCATGTGCTAAGGACAGGATCCGCCCAGAGACCAAAAATGGCAGGTGGGCACAACCTGGATGGTGAAAGCAGGGCCCATGGATGGAACAGGACATGGGCAGAGGACTTTGGGAGAACACGTGGCCTTGGCTCTTCCTCCAGACCTCAGCAGCTGCTAGCTCCACTGGGAAAGACGCCACTGATACCATTACAGAAGCAGAGCTTCTCAGCTATTACTGAATTCCCACAAACGCACTTCATCTCCGTTTGGAAAAGTAAAAAGCATGGTCTGGCACATCACCCTTGGAAAGGCTGTTGACCTCGGTGCTGATGCTTTGGGTTCATATTTTCAGTATTGGCACAGACATTTCTCAGGTGTCTTTATATACTCTGAACAACTGCAGGCCCTAAATAAAAGGGCAAAGCTTTTTATACAGTCAATGGGAATGTATGCTTGCTGGTGCCAGGACTAACTTTAAGCCACTGTATGTAATCTTTGCCATGCTTTAACTCTCCTCTCTCATGTGAGCTTCCTCATTGTTTTCCAATAGAATATCTGAGATTAGAATCAGAGAAACAGGATTTTATACCAAAACAACAGGTCCCCATACTCTAACCACCTTACAAAATGACCAACAGACAAGAATTTATTCTTTTTCCTCATTTCTTGTAATATGATTAAGATGTTACCATCATTACATTTTTTCCTGCTTCATATTTGCAGTATTTTTTCAGGGAGGGCACGTATGCCAGTAAAGTGAAATGTGCATTGCAAACAGTTTTTCAGAGTATGACACGTCACATTTCTTACACAGCAAAATGAAGCTAAAAATAATTGTACAAAAAAAAAAACTGTCTGAAATTTAGGTTCTTGGAAACACATATAACACACCATGAAATTCTGTATAATGCCCACTCCCATTTCATACACAGATTATTCTGCCTTGTTATTCTAAAATGGAAATGAAAGGAGGGGTATTTTTTATGTTGTATTAAGTGTTGTTGAGTCACACTTGGAACACCAATAATACAAATAATCTTTGCTTAATACATATCACTCATGAGAAATCCAAACTTAACATAGAACAAATGACAGATACAGGTCCCAGCATGGATCATTATACGATTTTTGGTTACCAACTGTGTTTGAATACAGAGCTGTAATGTGAAACGAATAACTAACTGGTAGACAGACAGCTCCTTTCTAGTTGATTGCTAGTTCTATCAAGTATGCAGGATATAACATCCACTTCTGAAAAGCTAACTACTGATGGGTGAATGCAAATAAATGACAGATAGAATTAAAATTCTTCACTTCAGGTCAAAACACATCCTACCTTCAAGCATAGGTGCATTCATACTGACATAATGTAATTTTTGAAAGAATCTTTTATTTGACAGACTTTGTTGGCTGGAGGCTACCAATAGCCCATCAAATCTGTAAACCTCCTGATGAAGGTATTGCGTTACTCTATATGCAATCCAGAGTAACTCACAAAGTCTTAAGTACATGACGAGGTATTCCTCAGCAAGGCAAAGAGTGTTTGGCAGACTCTTCAGACTGACTTTTTAGTTTCTTCTTTACATTAACTTCTATATTGCTTCTACATTATCTGTTCAGAATGGTCATCTATTTACAGTTCTTTACCTGAAATCAGTCATACTAGTTTTGTTCTGTTTTGAAATGAATGCATAAAGTGTTAGTGAAATCTTCAGTCACCACTTAAAATTAATCATAATACAGGATTAAAAGAAATAAGCTCTCAGTTGGCCAGAACTTACACTGAATTACATATGCTCCCAGCTGTGCTGCAGTGTTGACTGGACAAGGCAAGCGACCCTGTAAAACGTCTTGCTTGACCTGCAAGAAAAACTGATACCTAAAACACAGAGAGAAAACAAAGCTATTATTTCAATATTGAGTCTGATGCTCCAAGTAATGTTTCATCATTGTCCAGTTTACTGAAGACATACCACGTACCATAACTATGTGACATTCAAAAAGTGTATTCCTCTCTGAATGACATTTCCCCTGACCTTGAAGTAAGGTCAACTAAGATTAATCCAGTGAAAGAACATAGGTAGGGGAGCACTCTGCAGTTTTCCCATCTGCTTATATTGTGCAGATACAGTTTATTTTACTCCTGAAAATGTAATTTCTCTCTTTTGACTTTCACAGAGCACTCAGGAAGTGGGGAAGAGGACTAGGAATCAGAAAAATGGAACAAGAAACCTATAAAGGGCCAAAGTTTAACCTGATCAGTGGATTAACATAAGGGAGAACTAGTATTGCACACTTCTTGACTCAAAGGTTTCCTCTTCACACACCAGAGCATCAACTCTCAAGCTGCAAGCGGATTTGATGGAGTCAATGCTCCCATGAAAAAAAATGGATGGGCAAACCATCAGCAGCTAACTGTATCTGTCATAGCATAGGGTATTCTCCTTCTTGGTATACAGATAGCAGAAGTAAAAATGTAATTTTCTAAGTCATAACCTGCTTCTACACTTGATGAAGCACATACTGAGACCACTTACAGTGAAACAATATGCAGAAAACAGATGGAAAAGTAAAGACAAGAAAACAAGCCATCATACAAAGGATCTGCTTGTTTTTGCAACTCCCCATACTCATTTACAAGAAATCTTTTAAAAGCTGTTTGGGTTTTGTCTGGTTGTATTGCAACAGATTTACGTAGCGTTTCACATCATCCTAAGCAAATTTCTTGTACCAAGTTCATACAAAAGGTAACAATACTGAAGAGGTAACTTTTTAAAGAAAAAAATAGTCATCCATACAAGTATATAGTTTTTTCATTATTCACTAATTCAACTTTTATCTATGTAGAGCCATTCAGCTACACTGCAAATAACTTATTCTGTGTTAGTACAAATTACTTATGAAAGAACCTTGGAACGATCTGTAAGTTCAAAGTGCATGTATGCTGATTTCAGGGAAGTTCACAAACTGCAGGTTACATGATAGCTGATCCACAAACCATTTAAGATCCAATCAAATTTATTAGACCTTATCAGCCCAGATGAGCCTCTGAATAAGGATACCAGTGTCTTTCTGGTTAATGATCTACCAGAATTTGTGCTATGACAGATATTATAGTAGGAATGTCCATCCTTAAAAAAATGGCTAAATATTCTCTGCCTTAAAGGACCAGGGCACTGCATAAGAGGTTTCTGGGAACATCATTAGGCAACACAAAGCACACACACTCAGTGTTTCTTCACTCTTAAGCAATACCTCGGTACTGCTTCTAGCTCATGCTTGCCTGTCCTACCTAGACAAACCTTCTCTGTATGAATGATGATAATGACAAAGATGATTTTACATCTACTGTGGAGTACACAGCATCTTCTTTTTAACATGAAATGCATTTCTGATATGCACCCATCTTTCTGTTAGCACGTCTGCATCTCTACAGTGCAGAGCTTCATACCAGATGATACTACAAACGTCTTTTCCATTTAGCAGGTATCGGTATTTCTGCATTCTCATAATGTCGTCTCAAAATAAAGCATGATAGGAAACTGCAAAAAACACCACCTCCCTGCAAAAAACAGTCAGAGCCAACTGTGAAGTGCTTAAGTGACTCCTATACAGCGAACGATCTCAATTCCCACTGAAGCCGCTAAGCTCCTCACAAAACCAGGGCTTTTGTCCAAACTTGTAGCTAAAGCACTCTCATCTTGTGCGCTGTCAAGTTTGTCATTCATACATAATAGTGCCTAAGCACTAGTTTGCTCTAGCAAACACATCCAGCAAATGTTAATGTGAATCACCACTGTGTTAGCTTTTGCCTACAAGCCAGATAGATTTTGCTCTGAAGCAATTACAAATTTGACAGGTTTTCATTATTTGCAAATAGTAATCACGTAACATCATGGATCATCAACACCTAATAACAGACTCACTCTCATATCCATTAAAATAACAAACACGTGCTCCAGAGAAACATGTTGGTTAGCACATCACTGGAATTACAAACTTAGGCAGAAAATTATTATTTTAAAGAAAAATAGGGCCTTTAATTGCTCCTAAGTAGAAGGAGGTTTAGTTTTGTCTTTTTTTTTCTGAAAAGGTACACCTTCCTTCCAAGGTTTAAGAGCCTATAGGCTCCGAAATGTTGAGGGCATTTGACGATTCAATGTGTTTTGTTGAAGAGTGTCAAAGAAGCATATCACTTTCTTATGCTCTCCCTCTGTACCTCCTAAGGTGCAAATCCTGCATGACCAAATACTGCGCAGACATGAACAGAGCCTTACTAATTATACCAAAATGCTTCTCAACTACATTTGCACACCTAATCAGCAATGCAAATCACTGACTGACCTTATCACAAAGCAAAGAGAAACAGTTTTCGAAAATTTAGCCCCTGTCATTTCCCACACAGAAATCCACCCTGCCTCCCAGGTAGCAATCACAACAGGCTTGGTGGCTGAAGCTCCCTTCCTAGGGCCATCTGCCTTCCCCTGTGAGCAGGGTTGAAAGTGCTTCTGGAAAAGTACAGGAAAATGGCATCAAACTTTCACGGTACAGGGGAATCACATTGCAGTCAGCTTACGCTCTTTTACCTGCAAAGTCGCAGTGTTTATTATTTTTACCAGGCCACCCTCAATCTTGTTACATTGGAGACTTCCATACCTGCTGTGCCAGTATGGAAACGAAAGCACTTTCTCACTCTGGTACAAGAAAAATATTCTGCCCATGCTGCAAGAACTGCCACCTTTGATCAAGGAAAATTAAAAACCCTATGTGCATTCTAATGAATTCTCATGTGTCATATCCCTAAGACATCAAAAGAAATATTTTGGCATTTATTAATGCAAGCCAGCACACTAATTTTGTCCACCTACCTATCCAAATTCTCAAATTTCCTTTTGAACCTAAAACTAATTGTCTCAGACCTTTCATAAATAAAGCAAACAGAAAACCCTGTGCATGAGAGTTCAGGCAAGCATGTGTGTGTACGTGTCTGTGCGCATGCGTGTGCATGTGTTAGTGCATGAATCCTCATAATTTGTAGAGGCCAAGCTTAGTTAAAAGAATCAAAAGCATGCAACTCTCCAATTTCCTTCACATATTTTTAGAAAGACCGAAAGAAATCCTCTTGAAAAACAGTTCTGGAATTTAAGCTATGGCAAATAAAGTAGAAAATTCCCTGTATTTATATTTGATATCCAAGTAAACTCCAAATTTGATTATAGCACAATATAAATGCAGATGTGACAATGTATTCCTTAAAAAAACAAAACACAAATGCACATCAAGTCCCTTTGATTTTTGATGCACCAGAGGGCAGCTTTTCATCTTGGGATTCCAAATAGTTGTCCATACCAACCACTGCGAAGCTAGTCGCAATCCTCTTCCTACATGTACATGTTCAAGCAAAAACTTCAGATGTTCAAGGGAAAAAAAATAAATACCAAAACAAACAAAAAAAACCCAGCCACACCACAACAATATGCATGTGGCTGGAATAGATTATTACCCTGAAATCGACAAACTACACTCTTATTAAATACTGTACCTTGTTATTTCTTCTTTAAGTTTACATGGATCCTCTGCATAGAATTTAATGCCAAAATACAGAGTGTATGGTGGTCCAGCTGAGGGAAAAAAATATTCGGTGCATAAGTTAGTTGTTATGAACTGTTAATTGTCATGAATTGTTACTAGTTGACTACAAAACAGCTACTAAGAAGGCCAGCTTAATATTTTATGAACCTTGGAAGTTCCATAAAAAAATCTTATATCCATATAGCAAATCTGTACATCTATACTCGGTACACGTGAGGAAAAAAAAAGTAAGAAAAGGATTTTTATTATTATTTTTCTAGTCTTGTGTTTATTTATTCACAGCTTGTCTGTCTACTTGGAGTTTTTGGTTATTTTGAAGATATGAATTTAGATTTAATTTCTAACTTACTGTTTCTCCAAGGTTTTTTAACTGCTTGATTTTGATCTTTAGATACTTTTTCCACTGAAACTTTTTGAAAAATGTAATTGTGCAGGAAATGTGATTCCCTGGCATAACTAATAATAATGAATACTAATCCCTTCCACATTTCCAAATATCTTATGGAGTAACTTTAATTAAGAAATATTTGGAAAAGCTGTTCTAATTCACCTTTTAAAAATGTTATTCTCCCGAAAGATTCAGTTAACTCAGTACCGAAATTCTTACAGCTACATTTATTCCATGCATGCTCCACTTCTACATCTTTTTATAGGTCTCCACATTCTTAAGTAAAATAATCTCATCATGATCTTTAATTATAATAAAAATAACAGATCTTGCATCTGTGATATCTGAAGAGTGATAGTAACAGCAGACACTCCATTATCAGCAAGAGGCACTACTTTACTTTCAGAATAAAAAAGGAATCTAAGTTGCTTATGGTATGGTACAGTATGGTAGAGGTATCACAGCTACTATAAAATTAATTACACAAGTTAGGAATAGCACCATTTATTATTCTAAAGTAAAATTTAAGCACAGATAAACCTTTGGACAATAATCACACAAATTATTGGAAAATTAAGGTATGTTCAATCTATGTGTGAAACTTTGACAGCTACGAACTGCAGTAATTGATAGTTCTTGAACAAGTTTATCTCTTGTGACTAGAATATAAATGTTGTACAGGCTGTATATATGGAACATTGCCTCTGTTACTTCATCTTCGGATGCATTCTTTAAATTCAAATTAAATACATACTGTTTATCAATTCTTTATGTTCAGCAAGGGTCTTTGCAGGATCCAGCCAGTACTGTGAGACAGATAATTATGGAAATTAGTCACTTAACATGGAAAATTAATATAGAACAATTGCAATTCTATATTTATTCACATATTGATATTTATTAGCAGACTGACACACTTCAGTCTGCCAATGACAAACTAGTGCCAGCTTCTGATCAGAGAAACACTGTCTCTACAAGTCTAATGTTGTGTATCTTCCCTGGGGTAGGAGTCTTCCTGAAAGGAAACCTGTTTCGTAAGAGCCACAACATCTCAGGCTTGTGACAAGCTGGCTCTACAGAAGAATCATACAAAGTACCCATTGGTGTCTACCTGATCTGCTATAGCTACTATATGGATGTGCAACCTTGCTATTTTCTTCTGGGAGATTAACCTAAGTAGGATAACTCTAAATTTAAACAGCAACAACAAAGCATGTAAGACAGGACCTACAAGGAAAGAATGAAGGGCCTTCACTTGTTTTCTGAAAAACAAGAGACTGTAGGGGGGAACAGGCATAACAGCACTCTTCCAAGACCTGAGAAATTGCTGTAAGATCATAGTTATCAATTTTTCATGTCCACTAAGTATGAAGAAATTGGGTTAACCAGAAGTAAAGAAAAATTAGTTTTGATTTTCAGAAACGGTTTCTAATAGCAGAGAGAGTGGGTGACTGGAAATCGGCACCAAGGTAGGGAGGGTACAGACTCTTCCACCAGATAGTTTACAGAACTAGTTGGACAAATGTGTCAGAGATGATCGAGGTACACTTAGTACACCGCAGAAGGATAAACTGTTACACGGGTTCCCATGCCATTTGATCAACAGACAATCCATAGTATAATTTCTCACTAATTACTCCTGCCCGGCCTTTATCAAACTTTTAATAGAAGTTTTTCTGATGTTACTGCTGAACACAGACCAGCTGTGTAGTTCATATTATGGCTACACAGATCACCAGCATCCTGGTCTTGTAATCCCTCCAGCAACTTATTTCTTCCTTAGCTTGACATTTCTATGATTCAGTTTTGGAAGAAAGTGCAGAGGCAGCTGCCAAGATCGTTCTTGTCTTCCTTTTTTTCAGTCCTCTTCCCTCTTACACAAGCTTTTTGGACTAGCTGAGATTGACACCCCTTCATAAAACACTGGAAATAAAAAGGCTGCAGAACACAGCTTCTGTAAAGGGCAAATTGAGGCAGATTGAATATACATCCTTAGCATCCACAACTTCTTTAACTGAGGAACTACACAGACCAATGAATAAACTCTTTACCTGCACCCCTGAACTAACCCTATGGAGAATAAGAATAAAATGATTAATCAAAAAATCTCCCCTCTCTATCCAGAGAACTTCTCTGGACTAGAGAATTTCACTATTAGAAAGGAGTATCATAAAGAAGGGAGGGAAAAACACTACAAGGCATTTGAGTGGAAAATTTCAAGCAACTAATTTCATAAGTGGTTGTAAGGAACTATAATTTTGATAAAACATGAAAGCAAACTACTTCCATTAGCTGCTGATCCACCTGCAACAGAAACAGCTGTATGCCTTGTTCTTGACCATTGCTATTTCAAATCCAGGAATGTTTGCTAAGAAAATTCCCTAAATTTTGAGGAAACAAAATATTCAGTACATGCCTGTATCGAATACCTCCAATACTGCTTTTAACCTCAACGGAAGGTGGGAAGGAAAAAAAAAACTTGTCACACTTGTTCAAACCTCCTATTAGAACTCCCTATCAGCAATAATCTGAGCTGGCACAATAGGCTGATAAAGAGATTTTACAGTCAACAGGCAGAAAAAAAGGCAAAATGACTCTGCAGTGCACATTCTGGCTATGCAATGTGGTCAAGAATGTGGTCTGACCTCTTCCCAAAAGTGGCATCACAGTATGAACAACACATTGTCAAGCTATCTTGCTTATCATTGATAGCTTTGTGTTACACTGCAAGAGTTTCAAAATCAGATCAAAATCTATCACAGAATAACTCCTTCATGAAATTCTCCTGAAGTGAACTGAAATCAGCGCCAAGAGATACTGTCTTATAGACCTCTTTGCAGTTTAGCTTTAAATGCGTAGGTAGATTGATTATTTGGGAAAAAAAAAAAAAAAAGAAAAAAGATATTGATGGATCATTATTCAAGTTTGCAAGTCAAGCACAGAACAGTTACAGATTTCTGTTTGTCTCTGCAACTTGAATTCCATGTGATTCACTGGCTGTCATGAGATAAACCAGAATTGGGCCAGGTCATTAAAGACTGTGTGGGCACTTGTAGACCATACAATCAAAACAGAGTTGCCTTAGAAGTCTTAATTCTCACTGGCCTGTACTTGACTTGCAAGTCAAATTATATTCTTTGTATGGTCTTCTGAAGGCAATTTCCAAGCTTAGGGGAGGTGGGCAAAATTCAGGGGGAAAACTGCAAGTTCAGATTCAGAGGGAATCTGAAGAGAGAAGAGGGAACAAACTGGTTATTTGTATGGCTAAACATGTCCTTTCCTTCCCCCAAACTGAGCCGACAGGAGGAACTGCAGTCAGTCCTCATCCCTGTAAGACAGATTGCTGCTACTCATGCTAGTGAAAATAAGAATCAGCTGGCACGAAGAAATATGCTCTTCTGAAGGTACCACAGGCTTCAAGATCCAGGTGCTGCATAGGTGAAGTTAAACACTTCAGCTCAGACCAGTTTACTGCTGGGAGAGGAGTGTTGTGAAAGAGGCAAGAATCTCGTCTGCTTCCTCATTTCTCCAGTAAGTATTTAGCATTGTGGCAATGCCACAAGCCCACGCTTAAAATCACTGTGTAGCTATTTATTATTTCAAAGGCTGCCAAAATTTTCCTGAAGAATGCAATGAGTGGGGGGAGGAGAGGGAGATTGCTAGCATTTTATTTGTAAGCCAAAGATGAATGGAATTCATGGATAATGAAAAGGCGTTTTTCAAGCCAATGTTAAGACAATAAAGATGAGAACATTTATAAAACCAGACAACAGAATCCTCTAAGCATACATACTCATGCATAAAAAATAATGTGTATTAGATACCTGTTAAATGTTTGCATATACATATAAATAGTGTTGGGTATAGTTACAGTTTTGAGCTCACATGTTAAAGTGCCAAGACAAATGGAACAAAAACGCAGAGTGTCTTATTAATCCAATACACTTGCACAGCAGGTGCTGACAACAAACCCTGCATTCGTGAATGCCAAAGTAGCTCCAGCACGCAGCCTCACTCTTTTTATGTTTGGCAGCCAGAATGCCACTTCTCAGTGATTTCCCACCTGTATCTCTCCTGTACAGACAGCAAGGGTTATCTGACTTATAAACAGCTCACCACTACTGCAAAGAGGTGGAGAGCCCAGCATACACCCATCCATCTGCAGGGGACAAATTTTGAGAATCTGAAAGGGGAATTTAACATTTACAGAAGAAATAAGAAAAAATAATTACTTTGAAATATTCCTAATCAATGCAACTATCCAATTACTAAAGTGATGGCTACTAGTTTACTAATTGTTATTTACAAAGACCATATAGTATTAGTTTAATTTAATAATTTTCCATTTACTAAGACTGATTATAAATGTACAATGTTATTAAGGAAAATAATTCCCTTTTAATTTTTAGGTAGTAATTATAAAAAAAGATATTTTAAAGTACAGTGTATCTAAGAATAGATGGGCTCTGTTGTCCTTTGTACTTTTACAAATCTGGCTCCCATACGAGCCAGATGTGTAAGCAGTATGCATCCAAGCGCCATGCAGTATTTCATATTTAGCCCTTTTAAATGACTGCAAACATTTTTCCACAAATCTGGAATCTTCATTCCTTGTATCTGCATAGGGTTAAACCTGGGTCAAATTCCATGAACCTGTTTGAAACAAAATATTAACTAGGTTGAAATGTTTGCTGTGGTATCAATCAATGAAGTGTCTGGTGAAGAAATATCTATCAACTTCAAACTAAATCCTAGGCTGTCTTAATTAGATTCTTACGAAGCTGCACATGTCAGTTTTTGTTCACATTTACAACAGGAAAAACCACAGCTTTCAAGAGAAAACCCAGTATTTTTCAATTATAATTTGAAATTATCAAGATTTTTCCACAATCTAAGAGAACACTAACAATTAGAATTATTTTGTTTTTCTGCAAACCTTCAGTGCAAAGAATCTAAATCTGCTAAGCTCAAGACATCCTTGTTATATAAGAAATGTATACATCACCAGGCAATTTCTACATACAAATAGGTATTTAATACCTCTGTCTTTTCTTTATTAGAATCTTATTAATATCCTTATTAATTAGAATTAACTCACCTGACCATCAGTTTTGTCTAAGTTGTTTTAATCCATGAACAATCTTCTAAAGTTTCTAGCTTCTAATCAATATTATCCATCTCCATTTTCCTTTCACTGGCTATGCCATCTATTTTAACAAGCACAACAAGTCTTTTTCTTTCTAGATAATTTGGTATACCATGCTTGTGGGCAAATGTCAAATCCACACAAAAACAAAAATCTGTACAAAACCAGAATACAAGCTAAGTACAGTTCACCTGTTTTTCTAAGAGCTTGAGATCAAAATGCACACTACATTGTATGACAGTAATTCCCTAGAGAACAGACATTTTTGATTGTAAACAAATCTTTTGTTAAAATCACGCCCTTCTTTCTATAGTTAAGTTACATACAGCCTCTTCAATCTGTTACCCTATCCAATTTGGTACAGTAACCTGGCAATCTGAGCATGCTGCAGTTACTTTATTAATCATGTTGGGTCAAGAAACATCTTTCCGATATATGAGTTTGCACAGCAGGGATATGCAATTCACGGGACATGTTTCTGTGCTCAGCTTTGCCACAGCTGACCTAATCTATCACTGCAGCACAGCAACTCAGAGCAGAAAGTTCAGCTTCAGAAGAAACCGAGACTTGCATCTCCCCTCTGTCTCTACGTGCTGGGCTACGCAGCTGCGAAATATATTGCCACAGGCTACCTCCTACCTGCTGTGCTCTCATGTCCAT